ACATGGTGATCTTTTAAAATTTTTATGAATTTCAAAATGTTAAATTTATTGTAATAATAATAATTTGATGATTGATTTTTTTTATTTCTCTAAAATAATCCAAATAATTGATATTATTTAAATTTATTAAATAATGCTTTGTATAATCCATAATTATTTAAATAATAGAGTTATCCGTAAAATGCCATGATTTCTGTGCATTTTGAAAGGACGACTAGGATGTTGCGCAGTGGTACGTAACATTAGCTAATCACGCTGGTTCATCCAAACCTTTGTATTTCGATAATTGTTTTAGCGGAAAAAGTTTCCGATGTTACTTTAGATAACTTTATCTAATGTTCATCGAAACGACGTCGTTTTGGGGTTGAAAAATTAAAAAATTAGAGTGATAAACACTATTATAACTCTGAAATAAATTAAAATTACAAAAATACCATGATTTCCGTCCCAAAACGACGTTGTTTTGATGAACATTAGATAAAGTTATCTAAAGTAACATCAGATAAAACAAACCTATTGTTTTATGGGTTAATTATTTCTGGTTGTATGACAAACAATTAACTCTGCCATGATTTAGGAAATACATCACATGGTGAGATCCATCAAAACTTAAAAACAAAAACAAATAAAAGAAGTTAATTTTTATTATGAAGTAGTTATACTTACAACCTTTTTTTTACAATCCCTTACAACCATATCTTAACACTGTTGATTTTTGTCAATCAACGGTTATGATTTTCGTAAATTAAACTCATTAATTAATTATTAATTTACAATAAATGATAACCGTTGATTGGCGAAAATCAACAATGTTAAGATATGGTTGTAAGAAGTTGTAAAAAAAAATTATAAATATAACCTTCCTCTTTTATTACTTGTGCAGGAGATTAATTGTTTCCTTAGGGAAAACAATTAACCCTATTTTTATTTTTTTTCAAATATTTTGGTCAAAAAACCAAATAATAATGTAATTATTTAATTCACTAGCATCGTATTGTTTAAAAGAGATCAATACTAGTGTAAATGATTATTAGGAGTAACATCTGTCATTTTAAAGGATATAAGCTTATATCATTTTAGATCTTAATTGTTGATTTATGTCCATCAACGGTTATAATTTATTGGATCAAAATTATTAATTAACTAATAATAAATTTGGCCCATTATAAGTTTGACCCAATAGATTATAATCGTTGATGGACGGAAATCAACGGTTAGGATCTAAAATGATATAAGGTTATATCCTTTAAAAGGATAGAAGTTTTTTCCATGATTATTATATAACGAATCTTTTGCTGTGTGTAATTAAAGGAACATTTCTGAAATTTGCTACATCACCCCTTCAAAATCTGATTCTGCAATATATATATATATATATATATATATATATATATATATATATATATATATATATATGAGGTAGGATCATTTGGCACCGGTGTCAAATTTAAAGTTTGACACCTCATCTGAGAGCCGTTAGATCAAAAAAGATCAACGACTCTGATTTGTAAGCATGTGACACCATTGATCTTTTTTGATCTAACGGCTCTCAGATGAGGTGTCAAACTTCAAATTTGACACCGGTGTCAAATGATCTTACCTATATATATATATATATATATATATATATATATATGAGTTTTACAATTCTCATGTTGAATGAGAATTGAAATAATAGATTATAGAGATAAAAAGGCACGTGGAACTCATGTGTTAGAAAAATTATTTGTAGGACCTATATCAACACGTAAATCGAATGGTGTGTAGAAAAATTATAATTCTCATATTAAATGAGAATTATAAAACCCTATATATATATATATATATATATATATATATATATATATATATATATATATATATATATATATATATAGAGAGAGAGAGAGAGATAGGTTATATTTACGATCTTTTTTTTTTAACAACCATATTTAACACTGTTGATTTTCGCCAATCAACTGTTATTATTTTTATAAATTAAACTCATTAATTCATAATAAATTATAATCGTTGATTGACGAAAATCAACGATATTAAGAGAGAGGGGCCCGAATCTGTCAAATAATTATAACTGTTAAGTTCAATTTTGAAGGGTCAAATAATCCACTCCGCTATATAAAACTTAAACAACTAACAGCCAACCTTGCAATTTGGCTGGTTGAAAAAGGCACGGCACATATTATCGAGTAGAAAATAAGTTTTTTTTTAATAATATGTACAATCAAATAATAGATTTTATTTTCTTGTTCACGAAATTAATTTTAATTATAAAATTGAACATATAAGTTTCTTCAAATGTGACGCTGATTATATGAAGAAGGCTGCCTCCATATAAAGGATATAGATATGATTTAAATTAAACCAGCCAACCACGCAATTTTTCTTTTTTTAAAAAAAGAAAGAAAGAAAAAGAATGAAACGCTCAAAGTGGAAGTATTGATTGTGAAGTGTTATCAAAAAACAAAAAAAAATGTTTTTTATTGTCAAAATCCATTTAAAAACTAGAGTAAATACTATTTTTGGTCTTCAGCAAATTTCACGATACTCGCTTTAGTCCCTAGCTAGAGGTGGCAAAACGGGCCGACCCGTCCCGACCTGCCTTCAACCTGCCAAAAGCGGGGCGGGGCGGGTTGACCCGCCGTTTGATGGTGGGTTGAAAACATCAACTCACCCCGTTTTGAGGTGGATTGGCGGGTCAACCCTCCTAAAAAAAAAAATTAAAAAATAATAAAATAATAAAATTATATGTTATTAATTTTATAATATTATTTATTTTTATTTCACATTTCCCTAAATTTTTTTCAATCTTAAACCTAAATATACGTTAATATTCAGTCAGATATTTTTTAAAAATTTAATTTTGCCTCTATATATGGATAAGCTGTCATAAGTAAAGTTTTTTTCTTTATTTTTCTAGGGGAGTATTAAAATAAAAAAAAATGTATATCACAAAAACTTAGTGACAAATAAAATACTACCTAATAGTAAAAAAAAAAAAAGCTGACCCGCCACCTACCCATTTTAACCCACTACTCAACAGGGCGGGTTGAGGTGAGTTGGTGGGTTGAAAAGTGTAACCCAACCCGCCCCGTTTTGGCAGGTTGACGGGTTGACCCGTCGGGTTCAAACCATATTGCCAACTCTATCCCTAGCAAATAAAAAGGGTCATGGTCCCTAAAAAATTTAAAATTGACCCATATGGGTCATTTTTGAATTTGTGAGGGACCACGATTTCAACTAAATGAGTCCATTTTGAATTTTTTAAAGACCACGATGAGCCTTTTTATTTGCTAGGAACTAAAACGGGCATCGTGAAATTTGCTAAGGACCAAAAATGGTATTTACTCTAAAAACTATGTTGAGTATTCTGCTTGCCTTTTCAGACTTCATCAAACTAGGGGTGGCAATATGGGTTGAGCCCGGCGGGTCAACCCGTCAACTCGCCAAAACGGGGCAGGTTGGGTTGAGGTGTTCAACCCACCTCAACTCGCCTCGCCTAGAAGTGGGTCAAAACGGGTTCAACCCGCCGCGGGATGGATTGACCCGCCGGGTTACATTTTTTTTTTTTTTTACAATTAGGTAATATTTCATTAGTCCTTAAATTTTTGTGATATCCAAAAAAAAATTTATCTTATTACTTCCTAGAAAAAAAATAAAGAATAACAATTTTATTTATGACAAATGTTATCTATATATAAATTCCTAAAGAATGTTTGACAAATATTAGTATACATTTAAGATTGAGACTAAAAAAATATAGAGAAGTGTGAAATAAAATAAAATAATATTAAAAAAATTCATAAAATATAATTTATTTTTAATTTTAATTAATTTTTTTTAATTGACAGATTGGTGAGTTAATCCGTCAACCCACCACAAAACGAAGTAGGTTCATTTTTTCAACTCATATTTTTTGGCGAATCAACCCGCCCCGCCCCGTTTTTGGCGGGTTGGTGGCAGGGCGATGATGGCTTGTATAATAAACGATCCCCTCCTTCATGAAAACTTTATTTTGAAAATACTGTTCTACATTATGAAATTCTTTATATTCATCTGGAACTTGGTGTTCATAAGTAATGTGATATTAAAAGGTGGAAAACATATTTTATTATTGAAAAATATTATTCTCCTTTTACATAAGATATCTTCTCTCATGTTCTCACTCCACCTTTTTTTTTTTCTTATAATGATGAAACTCACCCATTTTCTCTCTACAACATAAGATAATTATCTTATGTAAAAAGAGACTAATAAAACCCTTTATTATTTCACCTTCTGGAAATTGCAGAGGTGGTTCCTATAGCAGTAAATTGGATTAGAATTAGGGATATAAATAGGCTAGATTAGATTAGACTTTGACTTAAATAGGCTAAGTCTGTGTAAAAAATATTGCATCTAGCCTGACCTGTTAGCCTATATAGGCTCCAAATTACAAGTTTAGTCTGACTTATATTTAAAAAATAAAAATATTGGCCTAAGCCTATTAAACATTCAACAATTAAAAGAATAAATAAAATATATTACTTTATTATTCAAAATTATTAAAATAATAATTTTATTTAAAATAAATAATATGATATATACTGACCTGTAGGCTTATAGGCCCAACATGTATAAAAAAATCTATGGCCTATTTTCTAAATAGATTTTTTTTAAAATCTAAGCCTATTCTATTTTACTATTTGTAATAGACTAAGTCTGACCTAATATAGGCTAGATCATAGGCCTCTGTAGGTCGACCTAACCCATTTACACCCTTAATTAGAATCAGGGCTCTTTCATTACAACTGTTTTTTGCACTTTCTCTTGCATTGCATTATCCACTGTACCGAGGAGTTGCGCATTTTGTGCTTTGAATTAAGAGCTTTGACCCCCCCACAAAAATAACAAAAAGTTAATCGCTAACGGCCTCCATCCTAATAGGAGCCCTAGTCTAACCATTGCAAAGCACAAACTAAACCAAGAATATCGAAATAACCAATCTAAACTAATGAGTTCATTTGGTCTTTACTTTTATTTAGCTTCAGTTGATTGAAAATTTTCTAGAAAAAGTTGGTTTGGCTAAAACTAGAGAAGACAGCAGAAAGAGAGAACGAAGAAAATGAGCCAACAACAACAACAGCTATTTTATCAGTCTACTACTACAAACGGATTCCAAGAACACACCTCTCTTAACAGTCAACTTCAGTTCAAAACAAGAGGCACAATGTACATGCAACCTTAGGAGCCCCTTAAAATTATAATGCTGAAACAATTTGTCAGGGAAAACTATGCCTTGCCTTTACCAGCCTGAAGAGACTGAATCCTTTGTTGCAATTTTAGAATCTGCAAGATTACAAAGTCTGTCATTTATAGGTCCCATCCTAGCTAAAAGAATCCTTTACCAATGGATGCAAGTAGATTACTACGCAGGTAGACATTAACACATCTATTCAAGCATGTGGACAACTAAACAAATTCTAAGCAAATATAAACCATAACGTGTTATCTTGTTCTCTTATCAAGCAATGATCTCATCCAACAAAATAATACACACTCATACTTTCTGATTTTAATTTCTTGCGCAGGGTCCAGGCATTCAAAGTAACAGAATCCACTAAATGCCATTCTACTAGAGGCCTATTTGATTGCTGGATCCACCAAATGTTATTCTGTAACTCTTCTCCGGGAGAACTTTTTACACAAAGAATTAGATATACCCTTGTATATTGATAAAACTAAGTTTAATATTTATTGTAAATGCTTTTTGCTAAGAATAATAACATATAATGCAATTAATCAGGGTCAAATATCAGATGCAATCAATGTTATAAAAACCGGACCGGGTCGCCCGGTTCAAACCGGAAACCGGTAAAACGGTCATATGACCGGCGGTCCGGTTAGAATAATGGATCAGATATGCAAACAGACTGGTGTGACCTGGAGAAAACCTGCCGGTTTTACTAAAACCAGTGACTCGCCGGGTCAAAAAGAGAAGGAAAAAAAAAAACTCCCCAGTGCCGAAGCCAGCGAGGGACCAGGAGCCATGGCGTCGTAGATCTGAAGCAACGGAGGCGCACCGGGTTTCATTCAGGATGAAACTGAAACTGACAATATTCTTTGAGCTCTTGGAATTCATCGAAGTCTTTCTTTCAAACTTCTTTTGCATCCTAATCGGCCATCCACCCACTACTCCCATAGAATAAGAAGAAGAAATATAATAGACACATAAAAGAAGAAAAAAAAAAGACACAGAGGACGAGAAGAAGAAAAAGGAGGAGGAGATTGATACAATCCCAGTAAAAGTCTATCAAAGGAGCAAGGACAGGAAGATTTGAGCCCCCAACCCCAACATTCAGCAAGGCCCAAATGGGACCAACCAGGATGATGCATCAGTTATGAAGGAAGGCCATACTGCTCATGATGACCTCATTACCCCTCAACAGAATACCGGCGTGGAAGGGAGTTAGTTACGGAGGCATGAATAAAGAGGGAATGGAAGGCACAAAGGGGACACGCTGGGAGAATATGGATTGTGGGTCCCTTAGGGGAATTAGGAGAGAGTGGAGCCTCTCTATGTGCTCCACACTATCTTTTCTTTACCTTGTTAATTGTTGAGATCCTGTTTTCAATTACTTGTAATCGTCTGTTTGTGTGATTGTGAAAACGAATCTTTCTTGGCATTAATAGTATAATTGTCACCCTTTTCAGTAAAGTTGTTCATCTGTTATTTTGATTTTACTTTGTTGATTGGAAAACTGTATCAGAGAACAACACACAAAATTATCACAGGTACTTTTTTTTTGTTTTGGTAGATTTTCTCCATTGCATATGATAACACGCCATCGGATTCTGATTTGAGTGCTGAACTTGTCAGGATTCGCTTATCTTGCACGCCAATTTAAAAGTATAATTTGATGAACCTGCCCAGCTTTTTATTTCAAAATAAAGTGACTTTATATCTCCATAATCTTCAACTAGTATATTTCTTTAACCAATGAATGCCAACTAATGACTTATAGGAAATTTTCATGTAATTACAACATTATAACCACTCTAACCCCAACAGAACAGTCGGTTTTATTTATGACATAAATATTTTTTTTATATAGACTTAAAAAATTTTTATATAATATAAATTTATATTTATTTATCCGATTCAAACGGTTCAACCTATGACCCACAGATTGAACCAATGACTCATTGACCCAATACCCCGACCGGTTCAATGACCGGGCCGAGTCTGAAAAAAATTGGATGCAATGATAGAAACCATATAAAAGCTGAAACCAAAACTAAAAAGGTAAGCAAGCAAGGAAAAGTTACAAACCATGTCTTTCTTGCTATTCTGCTTCTCTTCCAAATCTTGAACAGTGGCATCAAGACGCTTCCTGACAGAATAAAAATTGTGAGATACCAGAGATACCAAAACCAACTCAACCATGACAAAATGAAAAAGATGACAACCAAAACATGTAGCAAGCCAGCAACAATAAAACAGAATTACAAATGAGGGGAAGGGAGGAGACAAAGAGAATAAATGTTGACAGAGGTGGTATGCCTGTCCATGTAATAAAGATTCAATAAGGTTTACTGCCTAACACAACCCTCCTCTTTTATCCGGACTTGGGACTGACTATGTAAAGATTTGCAACGAAGCACGAAATAGGCAGAGTTGATCAGATAGAGGATAACACAATAATTAGAGCTAGATGAAGACGACAACAACAAAAAAACTCTAAGTGAAACAAACTATTAAAAAGGACTTAGATCTAAATGGCCTCTCCGAAGACTTGGTTTTTGACAACCCTGGTGCGGGTGGTAAACATATTTTATTGTTGTAGAGGTAACAATGAAATTTTACAACTGAAAATCTCAAGCACGGATTGTATGCATTTAAAAAGCTTTTCAGGTTAAGCACCAGCCTTAATTATTTTAAGATTTAATGATACCCAACTGAAGTTATGCATATCACAAAATTACCCTCATCATGCAAGGAATGTTTAAAATTTTGCAATAACTTCATTCTATTAATATACTAAGATCACATTGTCTTTTAACAAAAAGTGATTACAAAACATTTTTTTTAGAACATTACAGATAAATTATATACATATTGTTAGAAAAATTCTTTCTCTGAATAAATGCATTGCACAATCATTGTGCTCAAAAGACAGAAAGAAAAATATGACCCCACCCCCCAAAAAAAAAGTAAAGGAATATTAGGTAAAACAACATATTGCGTAACTGTCGGTTCACAAAAACCCAAAAGACCACTAGTTCATGCTCTCAAAACACTGAAAAGAAGGAGAGACAGGCAGACGGAGATATAACTGTAGCTGTAAGTCTGCAACAGTCAAAAGGCACATTTTCATTCAATAAATAGGATATGTGAAAGGAGATAAATGGTACTTGAGTCGTCATTTACAAATGTTGTAAGGGACATAAACATCCTTAATATTATTATATTAGCTAGAGCAAGCATTCAAAGACCTTTCCTCTACCGAATTAATTCCACAGCTTTTCAAAGAATTTTTGTTTCAGTTTAAACTCCACAAACCCGCAAAATGGAATTCACTATAGCACTGAACTTAGATATTCAAAAACACCCAGAGAATTCTAGTTGGAACTAAGAAGCACCAAGATATAACATATGAAAAGCAATAGTATTGTGATAACACAAGAAGGTTTCATAAGGAACTATGATCTAGAGGGATCGGGACAGAAGCTTCATGTCAAAACAGATTAAAATACAAGGTTATCCAGATTCACTGGCAGGCAATGGGGATTTTAAGTTCAAAATATCCTGTGAGATTTATATTTGAGCGGTAACAAAATGAAATTCTAAAAGCAAATGGATTACTACATAAGAATTACCAAACCAGTTTATCATCAAAGGAGATAAAATCTATATGAAATCAATGTGTTATTGTGGATCAACGTGAAGAAGTCAATCTATACTTGCAATACTATAAAGTAAGAATGAAGGTTAGCCTTGGCGCAACGTGCTGCCTTAAGACCTTGGTTGTCGCAGGTTCAAGTCACAGAAACGTCTTCTTCACGAGAGTAAATCTGAGTACATGTGACTCTTCCTGGGCCTCATAAGGGTAGGAGTCTTGTCCACTGGGCCGTTTACTAGAAAAGAAGGATGTTGTAGCAGATATACACAATAATTCCAAGAAAACTTCTCTGATACGAATCCAACAAGGCTGGTGTACCGTAGGGATAAAAAAAGAAGAAATTGGGCCTCAGAAGTAGTAGTTGGCCCAGGTAGCAGGGCTGTTGACCCAAGTAATGAGGTTGTAAGTGGTAATGCTGATAGCCCAAGTGGAGATATGGACGGGAATGCCCTCCAACAGAATGCAGGTGTGGGGGAAACAAGTTAGTTACGGGGGAATTGGTTAAGAGGGGAAGTTGGGTGCTTGGGGGGAGGCATCTGGAATATTGTTGGGATTGGAACCTTGGGAGAGAGTGAGGCCTCTCCAATTGTCTCACAACTATCCTTTACACTTTCTGCTTTGTTAATTTTCCTTTCCAAGTTCTGTGTAATTTTCCCTTTCTCTTACATTATCTCTGTTACATTTCTCCGGTTGTAATTGTCTTTTGATGATTATATGGAAAACTGAACATTCAGACCCATATTTCCCGGTTACTTGCTGTTAAACTTGTATTTGACTGGTTGGTCTGTATCATTCTCATTCGCATTTCCCATCCTTTTCTTTAGTACAATGGTGGCCCAGTGGCTTGAACCCTGAACTCCTACAATCTATCAAGACTCCTCACCACTAGCCCACTTTTAGTGAGTTAACATTTCCCATCCTTGATGTCAATTGCTTCAATGCAAAATTATCTATAACGGATGGTCACTTGCATGGACTTCTAAATAACATATTCCTCAACTTTACCTATTTTCTCTTTTCCTGCATCTACAAAAATCAAACCTATGGACATCAATTAGCCCTTTGATTTTCCATCCAGATATCCAAACACTTAGGTTAATCATAGCAGTTTCTTTTTTTTCTAAAAAAAAAAATTAAAATGAAAAATCACTCCAACATATATAGGAAGCAATAAAAAATGCAATCACAAACTCTTCAGGAGACCCACATAGTTTCAAGTAAAAGCAGGGTGTTAACCTGTAGCCCTTTGCCACATAAATAACTCGCTCATCCTTAATTTTAGAGCTGTTTTTATTTTTCCCGGCCAAAAGTAAAAAATAGGAAGATATCCCAAAATAGGACTTCCAATAAAAAAATGTAGTTATCATGAAGGAACAATAATAATTTGGAGTGATTATTTAAGCTAGCTAATATATTATACCTAATAACCACTCCAGGTGGTTATTCTCATTCATAGTAAATACATTACTTTAGATTCACCCTCAAAAGAAATATGACAACCCAAGAAATGAACAGGGATAGACAGTGGTTTATGATAGTAACATATTTTGACTCAATGATTAAACACATCTATGATCAGTTAAGCAAATGAACAGAAAACACAGTTAAGAAACCCCAATACCCAGAAAAATATAAAAGAAAAAAAAAACTTACAATTCAGCAGAGATGTATTCGATTCTCTTGCGGACATTTGCATTGGCCTCAGCCAAATCTTGCTTAACAAGTACTGGGCCAATCAACTTGTAAACATTTGCGTCTTCTTTCAATAAATCCAATTCCTTAATTAAAAAAAAAAAAAAACAAACAAACAGTGAAACAGTGCCAAAGAAGAAGGACCCAAAAGATGAACCATAACTAACAAGTAAAAAATATTATTTTTTTTTCCTAAGAGAAAAAGGGTACTTTAAGGACGAGCTCATTCTCGCCAAGCTGGACCGTGTACTTTTTTCTCAGTTGATGATTCTTTGCAATATCTGCAAAAATTGGTGATTCATCTTAGGAATTAGGAAGGTGTAAACAAAATACTAAAAGGTAAAAGAGAATAGAATAGTATAATTGAAGCTTGCCCTTTTGAAGCTTGCTAAGATCGTTGGCTTTGGTCTCCAATTCGCGCTGAAGATCTCGAGTGCTCGAAGAACTCATTGTGACCTTCTTCGCTTCTGAATCTGATGAACCGCACCGTATAACAAAAATGGCTTTTGATTTTGATGTTGTTGTTGGGTCGGCCCAAGCCCATTAACATGAATAGCCCTACATGCATGGCGTTAAGCATTTCATATATATTTATTTCAGAAAAATATTTTTTACAAATAAATTATCTATATTTATTTTTAAAATGATATCGTTTTGGAATTGAAATATTAAAAAATTATAATTATAAATACTATAATAATCTTGAAATAAATTAAAATTATAAAAATAGCATAATTTCTGTTTCAAAATAACGTCGTATTGCAGATAACTTATCTGCAGTAATTGCAGAAAAAACGAACTCATTTATTTTATTCCCCAGTTTAATTTTACATCTATGAAAAAAAAAGAAAAAAAGAGGAACACGCATGTTTTGTGTTTATATTAAATCATACATCAGTATATTTCTTTACAGGATATATTTTTCTTGAATGATACAGCATGTTTTCGCTCTTGTAACATATGTATTGTCATTTGAACAATAAATCAAATAGAGTTTGCAATATTTTCATTGATTAATATAATATGTATCGACATAAATTAAATGCTCATAATTGTTAAGTTTTTAACTTTATAATAAGGAAAAAATATTTATCCTTTTAAATGACACAACTTATATCATTTCACTCTCACAAAGAGGTGGAATTCACACTTTTATTTTATTTTTTCAACTCTCTCCTCATTTATTTATCTCTTTCTCTCTCTTAAAATAACACAACTTTAGATCATTTAAAATAACACACACTTTTCTCTAATAATAAAGTGAAAACTTAATTTGATCCGTGTTATTTCATGTTTATGCTATTTTTGAGTGTAATTACTTTTGATTTAACTTTAAAAAATTTAACATCTGTGTTTAACAAAAAAATAGGTTTTTGCCTAAACTTTTTATAAGGTCTTCTGAAAAACTAAATCAGGCATGCTATATAACATGATAGATAATCACATAAAAATTAAGACACTAGTTATTATTAAACTTTTCTTAGTGGAAGACTTTGAGATATGGTGAAAATTGAAAATTTTGCAGCACTATACTTGCTGTTGCCACTCCAGAACTGATGTTGGAGCATAAAGACGGGTTCCATGGGATACGGTGCTATAGCTCCTCATTTTTATATTTTATAAAAGAACTATAGCTCATAATTAATAAATAATAACTATGCCACCACTCACTCTCACACACAAATACTAAACACAGGATCTCAAAGAAAACTATGATTTTAGTTGAGAAAATGACAACAAAACACTATGTATCCTTTACACGTAATTTGAGAAGCACAACTACTCCACTGATTTACTTACACATACCAAAAGCAGTAAGATATGCCTTTTTAAGAGAATTGTCTAATTTCTGCTCCAAGCTGCCTTTGAAATCACTAGATATTTTCCTGCTGGTAACATGAATAGGCCTTAATTGCACATGAGCATTTTGTAACCAGCATTTCGTGTCACGCCCTCGCCTAATATCATTTCATGGTCCCATCGAACCAATCCCCGTTCATTAATATATTTTTCTTTATTAAATTAATATCATGTGTAATTTTCGTTCACATATATATATATATAAGACATTATCATTATTTTATATGTGAAAAATTAATGATACAAAATAATTTTATCTCATATAACATAAGAAATATCAAATCTATATATACATATGGGATATATTATTATGTCGATTTTTTTTATGTATACTTTATTTATTTATTTTTAATATTATTGGATTAAAATCTCAAGAAAAAAGAAAAAAATAGTGAAAGTTAGTTGAAATTCTAATATAACGATATAAAAATGAGCAAGAAATGTTAGACATAAAAAAAATAGGTAGAATATTATATATATATATGTGGAAAATAAATCTTATGTTGTAGTAGAATTTTAATCTTATATCATAGATACATCAAGTGTAAAATTTACCTATTTAAAAAAAATAAAAAAATAAAAAAATGAGTGGCACATAATTTTATGATGTGTAGGAAGACTTTGTATTCTCATGCAACATGAGAAAAACAAATCCATATATATATATATATATAAGTTTGATTTTTCTCATATTGTATGAGATAATTTATCTCATGCAATACACAAAAAAGTGAGTAGGACCAGTGGCGGAGCCACTTGGAGTCCAGCGAGTGCCTTGGCACTTGCTGACTTTCAAAAATGATACAAGTTTTCTTTAAATAGTATGGTACAGCCTTGGCACTAGATGAGTTTTCAAAAATGATATTGCCTTGGCTTTGACTAGGTTTTCAAAAATGGTACAATCTTGACACAGGCTAAAATTATTTCATGGCTCCGCCACTGAGTAGGACCTATTAAGAAAGAGAAAAAAAAATGAATTTCATTCACTTTTGTGTATTGCATGCATTAGATAATTTATACACATATTTTCCTATATATATGACGGGATATGTAGCTCTTATGTCACTGCAAATGGGAAAAAGTACATCAACATTTATTTTTCTTAGGATACGCGTGCAGATCTGGTGTTTTTTTTTTTTTTTTAGGTTAGGATACGATCACGTATTCTAATGTTAAAAATTTGCTGCAATTTTTCTCATCAGCAATGAAAGAAGAACCGACGAACATATGAAAACGAAAAATTAAGCATGATATTAATTTAATAAAGAAAAAGGTATTAATGAAAGGGGGTCGGTTCGATGGGACCATGAAATGATATTTGGGGAGCGTGTGACACGAAATGTGATGTCCCATCCAATGAAGATGTTGGTTTGCTGAAAATCAAATGGAATTTAGAAACCCACGTCAACTAAATACTGTGTGTGTTTGCTGATATACAATACATTACCCGCCAATCCTCCAAAATATCTTAGCTTCTTCCACTCCTCCTCTTATGACGTGGTGACTGAGAATTCACTTCCAGATATTTTCCTACCAAAATATCTCACGCCATGACACGCGGATACACGGACAGGTGTTACCCACGTTGACTCTTTTTCCTTTCCAACCTACCCCTTATTTTCACCTTATATTACGTATATGCCATCCCTCTCATTACTACCAGGCACACTCGCAATTTATGCTTGTAATCGGGGGTATTTCAGTCACGAGGTTCCAACATCCTTATAATTGTCAGAGAAGACAGGTAGTTTGTGTACATGTAAACGAGAGCGAGAGAGAAAGAAAGAGAGAGAGAGAGAGATTGTTGCAGTTGCATCACATGGCGGTGGCGAAAGGAAAAGAGAAAGATGATGAGGTTGTTCAAAACAGTGGGAAGAGGCTGAAATGTATGAGGAATGAACAAGAGGGTGTTGAAGCAGAAGAAGACATGGCAGGAGAAGAGGAAACTGAGCTTCCCATGAAGCCAGGGATGTTCTTCTATCCAACCACAGCAACCTCCTTTGTTGTTTCAGATGCCCTTGAACCCGACTTCCCCATCATCTATGTCAATAAGGTCTTTGAACTCTTCACTGGCTATCGTGCTGACGAGGCCCTCGGTCGCAACTGGTGAGAAATCTTTCTATCATGTTTCACTTTTTTTCTCTCTCTTGTTCAGGGGAAATTATGACAGGATAGAATCTGGGGTTTCACTGTTTTGTGGATTTAAGGTTGGAATTTACATAAAGCTTGTAACTTTACATGATTGAGTTTTGATTAGTGGTGATAAATTAACCTTCCTCAAACTAGACCCTTTTTATGAAATGGTGAATGAAATGATTCTATTCCTTCAGATCTATGCTAAGTTGAGATTTTGGATGGGTTCCGTTGTATCTTTTAGTTTAGTGGCAAATCTGTTTCATTTTTGCAAACTGCATTTTTAATTGAATCCATTCTTCCTAATTTTGATTACCCTAGCATCCTTCTTTTTGGCAAATAGATGTTGTTTTATTCCTACGTGGCATATATTACGGCAATTTTGCCTTTTCTATTGTCAGTTCTTCTAAAAAAACTTGATGTTTCTCAATTTTTATGATTTCACAAACTGAAGTTAAGCTGCGATCTGCCTATTACTTCTAATTTGCCTTTTTATAGTGTCATAATAATATTACTAGTCTAAAATTTTAAGCATAAATCCAGGAGTCACTGTAACTGAATACTACAAATGTTCAAATTGAGGAGAATATGGGGGTTTGGCTAAAATCATTAAAAACTATGTTATGTCTTATACTATTGAGGAGTAGAAATTCTATCAAATGTCAAGAGAAATGTGTATAATTTATGGATAGCGACGGTTTATCACCTGTTTGTGCTTGTGATTCAACTGCCTCTGAAAAAGATTTGGAAAGAAGGATATTGATCAAAGATGTGACTTTTGCAGTGTTAATGAAAGGGAAGCTAGCAAGCTAGAATCCCTTTTGATTTTACCGGATCCTATATGGGAGAGTTTGGGCTCTGGGTTTTACTCTATTTGATTTCTTATGAATCCTTCTTCAAATTCCTAACTCAACTCCCCTGGTTACGAGAGATTCTATTTAGATATATTGATTTGGGCCACTTTTAGAAAAACGTCCCTATAATTGCTTTGAAATTTCTTTTGTTTCAGTCGGTTCTTACAATATAGGGATCCTCGAGCTCAGAGGCGGCACCCTTTGGTGGATCCTGTTGTTGTGTCCGAGATTAGAAGATGTCTTGAGGAAGGTATTGAGTTCCAAGGCGAACTTCTGAATTTCAGGAAGGATGGTACTCCTTTAGTGAACAGATTGAGACTTGCACCAATTCATGATGATGATGGAACTGTGACACACATAATAGGTATCCAACTATTTTCTGAGGCAAATATAGATCTGAACCGTGTATCATATCCAGTTTTCAAAGAAACTTGCAATCAAGATTTTGATGAGAAAGGTAAATATTCTAAGAGTGGACAACCATTCTACCGTCAGCATCAAGAGATGTGCGGTATTCTTCAGCTTTCTGATGAAGTCTTGGCTCACAACATTTTGTCACGTTTGACACCAAGGGATGTTGCATCCATTGGGTCTGTATGCACGAGGATCCGTCAATTAACAAAGAATGAGCATGTTAGGAAGATGGTATGTCAAAATGCATGGGGCAAAGAAGTGACAGGTACATTGGAACTGATGACCAAGAAGTTGGGATGGGGTCGTCTGACTAGGGAGCTTACGACTCTCGAGGCTGTTTGTTGGAGAAAAATGACAGTTGGAGGTGCAGTGGAGCCATCACGCTGCAATTTCAGCGCTTGTGCTGCTGGAAATCGGCTTGTATTATTTGGAGGCGAGGGAGTGGATATGCAACCAATGGATGACACTTTTGTTCTAAACCTTGATTCTAAAAATCCAGAATGGCGAAGGATTAGCGTGAAATCATCCCCACCTGGAAGGTGGGGCCACACTCTCTCATGCTTAAATGGTTCTTGGTTGGTGGTTTTTGGTGGATGTGGTAGGCAAGGATTGCTCAATGATGTGTTTGTGCTTGATTTGGATGCTCAACAGCCAACTTGGAAGGAAGTCTTTGGTGGAGCCCCACCGCTTCCTAGATCTTGGCACAGCTCTTGCACAATTGAAGGTTCCAAATTGGTTGTCTCAGGTGGGTGCACAGATGCTGGGGTACTTCTTAGTGACACATATTTACTGGACCTCACAACAGATAATCCAACATGGAGAGAAATTCCAACTTCATGGCCTTCACGGTTGGGGCATTCACTCTCGGTCTATGGGAGGACAAAAATTCTAATGTTTGGAGGACTTGCCAAGAGTGGACACTTAAGATTACGATCAGGTGAGGCTTATACAATTGATTTAGAAGATGAACAACCACAATGGAGGCAAGTAGAATATAGTGCATTCACGGGATTAGCAAGTCAAAGTGCTGTTGTTCCTCCTCCTAGACTAGATCATGTTGCTGTCAGCATGCCTTGTGGGAGGATAATTATATTTGGAGGTTCCATTGCAGGTCTTCACTCACCATCTCAGCTCTTTCTCTTGGACCCTTCTGAAGAGAAACCATCCTGGAGGATCCTCAATGTTCCAGGGTCACCACCTAAATTTGCTTGGGGTCATAGCACTTGTGTGGTTGGAGGGACTAGGGTCTTGGTATTGGGTGGACATACTGGAGAGGAATGGATACTCAATGAGTTGCATGAGTTATGCTTGGCAAGCAGACAGGACTCTGACCTGTGAATTGTGCTCTCAAGACAAGATTTTGGTTACAAATATGGTTTTCGTTAGGTTTCTTTTCTTTTGGTTTTGTTTGTGAACTATTTTATGAATGTTGTATGACGTGTATTACCACTCTTTTGTAATGATATATGACACACCATCCGGCTCCTATACCGTCTATGACTCTAGGAAACCTCTATCCATGCAATGAGTATTCTTTGCTCTTGTATTATATCCCTTCTTCTACAACTAGTTTTTGTAATAATTGGTTCTTTTATAATTAAACTTTTTTAAAATCAACTCTGATACAAGCAATCTAACTGGAATTTAAGCCACATGCATTAGTCTAAAACTAAGCGAACCACGAAAAACAAGAGAAACTGGGACATAGAGTGAAAAACAGGGAAAGTAGATATATGAAATTGAAATGTTAATAAATGTGTACACTCTAGGGTAAATCATAGGAGGTTATGAAGTCTGGAAATTTAACCATGTATTGAGATTAAAATTATGAATGTCCGTTTACAGGAATTAAACTAAGGGTTCGCTTTTTGTCATGTGACATGACTAGAGTACTTTTCTGCACACACAAATTAAGTGTGAGTCTCACGCTTAAAAAAAAAAAAAAAAAATCAAACCAAAATCAGGATACGACGTCGTATCCTTAAGATACGGACGCGGATCCTTGTTGCAGGAATGAACAGTGTCATTCTTGCAACACGATTCTTATATTTCCCTTAAACTAATTACTTGCTTACAGTTTTATTTGTAACATGTTTTCGGACAAATTTTAGTGATTAAATTAAGGAAAAAATGTTTCTTCAACCAGCAGGAGATAAGATAAGTTATCTATTACAATTCCAAAATGATGTCGTATTAGGGTTTAGGATAAAAGTATCGGGTATTTTGAAATTTTTATTTCCTTTTGTATTATGAATTTTACTAAAATATCCCAATTCCCCCTTCCCTCAAAAAATTTCAAGACGACGTCGTTTTGGGATTGTAGAAGATAATTTTATCTTCTGTTAATAGAGAAATGTTAACCCTTTAAATTAAGGAGAAGAGAAAGAGAAAGAAAATAAGTGGATTTCACTTACTTTTATGTGTGTTCCATGAGATAATTTGTATTGTCTCATGCAACATAAGAAACAATTCCCTTAAATTAATGTGCAAATCTTTATGGTTTTACCGAAATTTCATAAAAAAAAAAGTTATAATTCAATAGTTTAATAATGTTTTGACATTTTAAAATTGTTTTTAAACAAGTCTTTATAATTTATTTTATTTTTCAATTAAACCTCTATTGATTATAGAATTTTATAATTAAGTCATAAAAAACATGTTACAACTTAGCAGCACAAAATGGAACAAATTTTTGGTGGATTAGATCTACTCAACTGGTTATATAATTTTTTCATATTTGGAAAAAAATTCACCACTTTTGAAGAAAAAAATTCCTGTCTCATTAAAAAATGTTCCAAATATGAAAAAAAAATCTACTAAGTTGGCTACATTTAAGATAAATTTTTAATACTAGGGGTGTATCGAACTCGATACACCTATTTTCCAAATCTGGAAAATTTGACAATGTGACAGGATTTTTTTTTTAAAGTGGGATAATTTTTTTTCTTTTTAAATAAATGGGAGTGGTACTAAAAAAAACCTCCTATATCTGATAGGCGGAAGTTTTGTTTCACAAAATGGACCACAGAAAACTGTAGATATTTATTAATATAGTTCATATGTTTCAAATGGACCTATTGATAATTCTATAATCAATATAAAGACCATATTGAAAACTTCTAATTATATAGGTTTATTTAAAAATTTAACAAGACTGTAAGTACTTACATAATTTATCTATTTTTAGCCTATCATCCAGTTTATTGTTAGGAGCGGCAATTTTCAACACAATTCGGTAGATACCATACAAAAAATTCGTATTTGTGCTGGCCCGTTTTTAAATTTGTACGAAAAATTCGTATTTGTGCCGGCCCGTTTTTAAATTTGTATTGTGTCTGCGTTGACAAAAACTGATCCGCAAAAATTCATATCATATCGCGTATCAACCCGTGTTAATCTTTATACAAGTTATTTGTGTTGTGTCGTGTCTATTTATATCTTATCGTGTCATTCGACCCACGTAATAAGTAACACAAGTTGAGTTTGATAGATTATTCTTATCGTGTCAATCAGCATAATAAGCAAGACACTACGAATTTAATTGTGTAGTGCCAATCTAAAAAATAAACGGATCATATTTGTGTCGAAAGTTTTAACTCAATTTCAAATTCGTATCATATTCGTGTTGAGCATATCCATGTTCATACCCGCAACCCCTACATTATCACTATGCAATGCAAATACTCGCGTCGATTTTCATTGTGACAAATTTTGTCAAACGTTGTTGCCTCTAATTCAAGCTCATTGGCATATAGCATAAATAAAACATATTTGACCATTAAAATGGAAAATCTCATCGAAAACATTCAATAGGGTTCAGAAAACCAAGCAAATTAACCAACAAATGATTAGTTATATAAAATCACAACATAGAACCCCGGAAGCTTTATACACTGGGGCAAAAGAATTATATGCAAGCGCAAATTCAACTTCTTGCAGTAACCGTAGACTTCTCTGTTTTAGAGTTTGATTGGAAAAATACAAAAAATCTATGGCAAATCTTCCTCATAGCAACTGTTGCAAAATCTGGGATCTTCATTATTTCCAAGCCACGGAATCAATATCATCCCTAGCTTGCTTGTACAATTCAAGCCTTTTAGCTATTTGTGTTCTCTTTTCCATAAGGGCTGGGTCTTCATCCAACATGGCTCCCAATTTCTCCTTCTGCATAATAGCCCACACAACCCGTTATAATCTTGCCACACATAATGTTGCAATATATATGTTTTCATCAATTCTACACCAAGAAAAAAAAATCCCTGATATTGTGCCTGACTATCTTGCTTAAACAATCTTAACAAGGGAATTAGCCAGCTTTCTATTGTCTTTTCCATAAAATCTTTGCTAATTTGCTTACATATAAGTTAACATATGTTCCTCTAGGTAGCTTACGATACACTTGTATAGTTATACTAACATGGCAATATGGCATAATAGTATAAATACACACAGCCACGAGGAGCCTAACTAATTGACAGTTCCGATCATGATTATCCTCAACTATAAGACTGATATTTCCCACGTCTATATCTTTATCAATAAATTCAAAGACTTAACCCAACAATATAATTAGATTCATCATATCCAGCATTTGTTACAGTACTCCACGATACGAGCAACAATCATTTTGTAAGCTAACTGAGATACTTGGACCAAGCTCATTAAGTTTTTCATGGACATAAGATGCATTGTAATTGTGATATAAGTGAGTTCAGACAAGCCCAAAACAATTGTAACTTACTCTTATGTATACCATGAAAAGAACATCTATTAAAGGAATATGTGGAAATTGAGTCTAAGATGGGCAAAAATTTGACCAAAAGATATAAAATCATACCTCCTTCTTCCCAACTAGAACGTAAAAGTGGTTAAGCAATGATCTTTTAGCCTCTCTAACTTGACAATAAACCACGGCCTTTGGTATAGTATTCTTGAGTGTATCACAAACCATATTGATATAGGAACTTACATTTGATCCTGAAACAAACAACAGAGTAGATTTTAACAAGCAGAATAATGATCGTGAAACTTTACAGATCTGCAAAAAATTGTCGAATCAAAATCCAAAATAAGTCGCAATAGACATTTAAATTTAAACCCACTATTAAAAAGAGACATGAAAGGAAAGAATTCCAATGCACCATACTCTTAATTTTATAGGACTGGGCACTTACACAAGGTATGGGATAAAGGGATAAATGTGCTCGTTTGGATATGTTTTTCTTGATAGTTTTTTTAAATACATTTTTCATATTTTAGTAGTGTTTATTAACAAAATGAATTTTTTAAATTAAAAAGGATATTTTTTTAATGGCGCTGATAAGCTGGTCAAACATTTAAAAATAATAATAAAAATCCAGTCAAATATTGCTTCCAAACATAAAATAGCTTTTACTTTTTATAAAAGATATATTTTAGTACTTAAGATAAAAAAGACATTTTTTATAAGCTCATTCAAACCCCTAGAATTATAAATGTTATGCTTCAAAATGCAGCAAGAAGGCTTGTAGAAAATTATGTACCAATCTTTCGTAGATGATTGTCAGAGTAATTGTCTATATTGGGGGGACCACTTTTTGAATTTGGTGGTCCATTTGGATTCTTTTCTGGTTCAAGAGAAATCTTCCTGAAAAATTCAACTGTTAGATAGCTAGACTCCATATCAACCAACCGTATAACTGTCTTCCTGCTTTCTTCTCGGAATCTTTCCAGAGCTTCATTTGCAGCGGTTGCTATGTCATTTGAAAGTGTTGGAAATCTTTTTAATTCCTACATGTCATGAAGTAGCACCCAGGTAAGAGTTAATTCCCTATTCCAATACTTTTTTCCCCCCAAATTCAACTTAATTCGCATCAAACCCTAAAGTTAATGTTCAGAGGTACTGATCACAGGCCTAGAACTGCACCTTACACAGTACACCAGTTATTTAGTGCTGAGATATAAATATCCTGCACCTAGAGCTTTTAAACATTCACTAATTTTTTCTCAGCAGAAAAGGAACACTAATAACCAACTCTGCCAGATGAATTAAATGTCGAACAAGAACAGGCTCATTCAACTCGCATTTGTTTATTTGAAAATCATGGCTTGTCTGAAGGAGTAATATCAACTAAAATATAGCTTACCTCAGTTTCTGCAATTGACTTGCGTACAAGTTCCTTTAAAACAAAGTGGACCTGATAAATAGAAGAGAGCATGTAATTTATAAATGGAAAGAACATAATCTCACTGGGCAATTTATTATGGAAAAAGAACAGGAATACCAAATGCTTGTTACAGAAATGCAGATGAGGAAAACCATTCCTTGTGGAGTAAGTTTTTACGTCTTTCATTTCAGTACCAAAAAAGAAAAAGAGATGAAAAAACATAGGTTAAACAGTCACCATGTGATAGACTGAAGCCTGTCAAGTGCCAGCAATAGGTAAGAAGAAAAGAGGTACAGAAAGCAAAGGGAATTCAGCAC